TCTGTATATTGCTTTTGGTAGGATGGCCATTTTAATAATGTTTATTCTTCCAATCCATTTCTTTGTATCTTCTTCTATTTCTTTTAACAGTGTTTTATAGTTTTCTTTGTAAAGGTCTTTTACCTCTTTTGTTAGATTTATTCCCAAGTATTTGATTTTTTTTTGTTTCGATAATAAAGGGGATGGTTTTTTTCATTTCTTCTTCTTCAGATTTATTGTTAGTGTATAGGAAGGCTTCTGACATTTGCATGTGATTTGTATCCTGCCACTTTGCTGAACTGATTGATGAGTTGAATTAGTTTTTCTGTGGAGTTTTTGGGGTTCTCTATGTATATTATCATATCATCTGCAAATAGTGATAGTTTGACTTCTTCTTTTCCTATTTGGATTCCTTGTATGTCTTTCTCTTGTCTTATTGCTCTGGCTAGGACTTCCAGTATTATATTGAAAAGCAGTGGTGAGAGTGGACATCCTTGTCTTGTTCCAGATCTTAATAGAAATGCTTTCAGCTTTTCGCCATTGAGAATGATACTGGCTGTTGGCTTGTCATATATGACCTTTATGATATTGAGGTATGTTCCTTGTATCCCAAGAATTTCAAGGGCTTTTATGATGAATGGGTGTTGTACTTTATCGAAAGCTTTCTCGGCATCTATTGATATTATCATATGGTTTTTATATTTCTTTTTGTTGATGTGTTGGATAACGTTGATTGATTTTCGGATGTTGAACCATCCTTGTGTCCCTGGAATGAATCCTGCTTGGTCGTGGTAAATTATCTTATGTATACACTGTTGGATTCTGATAGTTAAATTTTATTGAGGATTTTTGCATCAGTGTTCATTAGGGAGATTGGCCTGTAGTTTTCCTTTTTTGTGTTGTCCTTGTTCGGTTTTGGTATTAGTGTAATGTTGGCTTCATAGAACGTGTTAGGTATTATAGCTTCCTTCTCAATTTTTTGGAAGAGTTTGTGAAGGATAGGCACCAATTCCTCTCTGAATGTTTGGTAGAATTCATTTGTAAATCCATCAGGTGCTGGGCTTTTGTTTTTGGGGAGGTTTTTGATTACCATTTCAATTTCGCTAATTGTAATTGGTCTGTTTAGGTGTTCTATTTCTTCTTTATCAAGCTTTGGGTGATTGTAGAGTTGTAGGAATTTGTCCATCTCCTCTAGATTGTTGAATTGTTCCATATAAAAGTTCATAGTAGTTATTAATTATTCTTTTGATTTCTGCTGTGTCCGTTGTGATTTCTCCTCTTTCATTTATTATCCTGTTTATTTGTGCTTTCTCCCTTTTTGCCCTTGTGAGCCTGGCTAGGGGTTTATCTATTTTATTGATTTTTTTCGAAGAACCAGCTCTTGGTTTCATTGATCTTTTGGATTGTTTTTTTAGTTTCAATTTCATTTATTTCTGCTTTGGTTTTTATTATTTCTTTTCTTCTACTGGTTTTGGGTTTTTTTTGTTGTTCTTTTTCTAGATCTTTGAGCTTCGAGATTAGGTTGTTTCTTTGAGTTCTTTCTTGTTTCTTGATGTGAGCATCTATTGCTATATATTTTCCTCTTATTACTGCTTTTGCTGAATCCCATACATTTAGGAAATTGGTTTCCTCCTTGTCATTCAATTCAAAGAATTTTTTAATTTCTTCTTTGATCTCCTCGTTAGTCCAGTGGACCTCCAGTAGTGTGGGTTTCAATCTCCATGAGGTAGGAGAGTACCTTGCCTTCTTTTTATGGTTTATTTCTAGTTTGATGCCTTCATGGTCAGAAAAGATGGTTGGTATGATTTCAATCTTGGTGTATCTGTTGATGTTTGTCTTGTGCCCCAGTGTACGATCGATCCTGGAGAATGATCCGTGTGCGCTTGAGAAAAATGTGTACTCAGATTTTTTTGGGTTTAGTGTTTTATAGATGTCTGTTAAGCCCAAGCGCTCTAGATCCTTATTTAGAGCTTTAGTGTCTTTACTTATTTTTTGTCTTGTTGATCTATCCATTGTTGATAGTGGTGTCTTGAAGTCTCCCACTACGTATGTGTTTTCTCTGATGTCTCTTTTCAGAGATGCCAATAGTTGTCTGATATATTTTGGTGCTCCTTTGTTTGGTGTATATATGTTAATGAGTGTTATTTCTTCTTGAAGTATTGTCCCCTTGATCATAATGTAATGACCACTGGGGTCTCTTTTTATCTTTTTGAGTTTGAAATCTGTTTTATCTGATATGAGTATAGCTGTTCCTGCCTTCTTTTTTGGTCCATTTGCTTGTAGAATTGTTTTCCATCCTTTAACTTTGAGTCTATTTTTATCTTTTGCAGCTAAATGTGTTTCCTAAAGACAGCAAAAGGTTGGGTTTTGTTTCTTAATCCAGCCTGCGACTCTGTGTCTTTTTATTGAAGAGTTTAGTCCATTTACATTTAGAGTTAATATTGATATGTTAGCATCTGTATTTGCCATTGTGTTTGTCTTTCCTTTGATTTTATTTACTTATTCTTTTAATAACTTTTTTTTTGGCCTTCTTTTGTTGTTATTTGTCCCTCTGAGGTTCTGGCTTTAGGACTCCTTGTAGTATTTTTTGGAGTGGGGGTTTAGTCGTAATGAAATTCCAGAGTTTCTGTTTGTCTGTGAAGGTCCTTATTCTTTCTTCATAGAGGAAGGAGAGCTTTGCGGGATAGAGTATTCTTGGTTGGCATCTGTTTTCTTGGAGTCTGTTGACTATGTCCCTCCACTCTCTCCTTGCCCGTAGTGTTTCTTTGGAGAGGTCTGATGTCAGTCTGATTGGTTTTCCTTTGAATGTTATCTGTTTCTTTCCTCTTGTCAGATTCCTTATTTTTTCCTTGTCTTGGATTCTTGGGAGCTTTACTATTATGTCTTGCTGTATTTTTCCTTTCATCATGGAAGTTTGGTGTTCTTCTTGCTTCTTGTATATCAATTTTCAGCTCCTTCTTCACGTTTGGGAAGTTCTCGTCAATTATCTCCTTGAATATTTTCTCTGTTCCTACATCTCTCTCCTCTCCTTCTGGGATTCCTATAACTCTTATATTTCCTTTTCTCATGGAGTCAGATAGCTCCCGAAGTCTTTCTTCGGTCTTTTTCCTTCATACTTCTCTTTCCTTTTTTATTTTGGATCTTTTTATTTCTGTTTCTTCAAGAGTACTTATTCGTTCTTCCATTTCATCTATTCTGCTTTCATTGCTTTTCCCAGAGTTCTTTAGCGCCTCCATTAATTCTTTGATCTCCTGCATTTCTTTTACTTCCCTCTTTAGGGACTCAATTTCATTCTTCTGGTCATTAATTATTTTCCCCTTATCATTGTTTTCCTTTATGACTTCTGTCAGTTTTTTAATCACAGCAATTTTAAATTCTCTATCTGGAAGGCTCAGAAGTTCTTCCAAGTTACTGTCGTTGCAATCTGATAGATGGTTTTCTGTTTGCAGTGTGCTTTTTTGCTGAGGAGTTGCTGGGTTGCATGTGGTTTTTCTACTCCCTACTGCCTGTTTTCTAATTTGCTGTATTCCTTGTGTCACTGTGTTGCTGGTACTGGCCGGCATCTTGGGCGACCTTCCCAGCTCACCTCTGGCTCCTCCGGGGAACTTCTGCTGGGTTCATACAGTCTCCACCAAAGAAAGGTCCCTGCTGCAAATGCCGGTGCCGGGCATGCTCCCCTGCACGCCCGGTCTGCCCCAGTGGTGGGTGTTGCTCCCCTCTGGGCTGGGACTGCAGGCTAGAAGGCGCCCGGCATGGGCAAGCCTCCCAGCTTACCTCTGGCTCCTCGGTGAGCCTTCTGCTTGTTTCACACAGTCTCCACCAAAGAACGGTCCCTGCTGCAAAATGCCAGTGCCGGGGACCGCCTCTTATGTATTTTAAGAAAAGAAATATGTTGTTATTTTGGAGATCACAGAAAGGGAATTGAGTTCATGTAACTAATTTCCATGGATTTCAGATCACGGTATTAATTTGCATCAGGAGCCATCCTAACTTCAGATTGTTAGGGGCCCCAGAATCTTGCTTCTTAAATGTTCTACCATCCTGCCTCTTGCTCTTCTGTATTTCTGAAACTGGAGAACCAGTACTGAGAAAGATATGCTTTACTATTTACTGTGGAAATATTCTTTGGAGGAAGTCTATTGCCATGGACATTTCCACTGTACCTGAAATATTTTTGGTATTCTGTGATGAATGTGTGGTGACAATATTATTTTCTGATGACTCTTGAATATTTTCACTTACATAAAGATTTACTTTAGGATTTATAAAAGATTTTTAAGTATGATTCTGATACTGAGCTTTCAGCATATACCTGAGTTTGTAGAGAAATGATAACAACCAATTTTGGATCTGCCCTTGGATTACTAAAGATTTGAGTTAAAATTGAGTCTTTGTTAACACTCAGTAAAAAAATCAAAGTTAAAAGTCATATTAACTAATATTTAGTCCTGTTGTAGCCATTTTCTATGGTATTACTATACTATGGTATTACTATCTATGGTATTACTATGGCTACAACAGGACTAAATAATTAGTTAATATGACTTTTAACTTTGTGAGAAGAGTAAATATGGTTCTTAAGACTTGGGGTATTTATTGGGAAAATGAAGGATGCTGAATATTTAATTGTTTATTTCCTGTATTTACTATTGACTATTTTGGTTATAATGAACATTACTAAAAAGTCTTATGTGTGGGACAGCTCATTGAAAGTTAAAAAATGCACAAGGTAAGTAGAAAAGAAGGAATAACTATCTTTATGATGTCTGATGTCTAAGGTATGCAAAAATTTTCAATCTCACCAAATATAAATTTCTCTAATTCTCCTTAACTTTGTAAAGTTGTTGAAATTACTTGTAGTTCCAGTGACCTCTGTTATCATTTTTCTGGGAGCAATATTTCCTTTGTTTTAAATAACACAGTAGGACTACCTGATTTAAATAAATCAAGCCAGAATGATCCTGACAGTGTACCAAACAAGACCTGTATGTATAATGTGAGTTCTTTCTTTTCAATTTTAGAATCAACCTTGTCCTATGTTAGGCAGCTGGAGGCGAGAGTAAGACAGCTGGAGGAAGAAAATCGCATGCTGCCCCAGGTGGGTGACTTCAGGAGCTCATAGCTAGTCAGTGTCATTTGTAGCATTTTATTTGGAATTTAAAGTTTCAATTATATTTTCTCCTTCAAATGATAGAAATCATTTTGTAAATAGTCATTCATCAATGTAGATGTGATTAATTTCCATAATGGCCATCCTATTCATATTGCTAAGTGTAATACTAAAGGATGCAGATGTTTGAAATTAGAATATAAAATAATTTTGAAAGAAAGGAGAAAAACTAAGAAGTAGAAAGGAGAAAAACTAAGAAGCACTTTGGTAGTGCTACTCATATATATCACACATGTAGCTGGTGAATATAGGAAAGGAACTCATTTCCATAAAACATTTGCTAATTTATGAGCTAGGGAAAGATATAGGTAGCACATTTCATATTTTAATTAAATTAGTGTTCTCTAAAATTCTTTGTGATATAATTGAATTCTTTCAGTGCAACAAAATGATGACTAGAATTGACAGTTTTTACTTTGGGGCTTACTTCTTTTCCCTGGTGAAATAAAGTGGCACAATTTTTGGATTTAATGTCTTACCATAGATTTATAAAATTATTTTATTTTGCTGATATCTTGGTCAGAATGATGTTAATCTTTTGAGGTGTTGGTTCTTGGGAAATACTGGGTTGAGGAGTTGAAAAATATCTACTGACTCTAGGTTTCTTTTACAGATTTGTAGACAGTCATAGATTTTAATATTTTATAAAAAGGCATTTTCTAAGCATTTATTTCCTAGTGTTCTTTCCACATTCTGGTGATTATTTTTATTTCCTTAGTGACAGAGGAACCATTAAACTTTCAATAGCTAGTAAACAGTATTTTTAATGAAAAGAGGAATAGATTTTTTAACTCAAGAGAAGATATATAGACATTAATGTAAATATACTTTGGGAAGCTTTGCGCAGTGGCAGTATCATAGCCAATGAGGTTTATCCGAGGCGTGATTACTGCTAATTGAAAACTTTCCCCAAAGATGCTTTGGGAAAATATTTTAGGTCTTTACTACTTTTGGTCATGAATGATTATTTGTGCTGTCAGGCACTGCACTTATGAATGCTTTTCTCTTTCTTCCACTGCCCAACTATCTGTCTGAAAATCACGAGATGAAATGAAGTGATTTTACTCGCCTACCTTCTTAAACTAAATATATATATCAAAACTCATGATGACTGGAGGGACTGTTTACATCATGAAATAAATTACTGCTGATAGAGTTACTTTCTTTGTTCTTCTATACTTGATATCTTAAAATTGTCTTTGCTGTCTTTCCTTTTATATTGGGGTTATAGTCTGACTATACTAGGACCCTTAGCTGCAAACAGTTACCTTCTCCATTCCAAGAAACCTAAAAAATATATAATTAGCTTATTGTGAATATTATGTATGCATATACCATCTCTCAGGCTGCATTTCTCTCTGAATGGGAATTGAGGCTGATATCAATCATTGTAACACTAGCACATGTGATTTTCTGTTGAATAAGAGGCACACAGCATGTATGAAAATGATTGCAAAATGATTTAAAAATCTGTAAAAGTGTTAGCGGTCTTAAAGGGAAACCAAAAGTCTTCACCTCTACTAGTTATGTGTGTGTATGGGGTACACAGATGTATCTGTATGTGTGTATCTGTGTGTATATATGTGTTTTTAAATACATAGTACTTGTGTAGTTAAGAGTAAGAGAGATTAAGCAATTCTTAAAGTGTTCAAATATATGTTGTTAAGTGTATTTCTAATTTTCTGCCAAAGAAGATTTTTCTTTATAAAAAGTGGCTAGGAACAATCATATTTTATTGAGTTTAAGATGTTAATGGTGTGGCTGCACCATTATCATATGTACAATTAAGAAAGGAAATAAAGGTGCCAGTTTTACGATGCCAGATTCTTGCTTGATTTCGGCAATGTTAAGGTGGAAAAACAATATTTCAGAGTTAAACAGCTACCTACATAGTAATTTAATGCAAAGAAAATCCACTTTTGAAATATGCTATTAGACATACACAAAGAATGCAATTCATTTCATATCTCAGTTCAACATTATTTCTGTTCAATCTTTCTATTGGAGAGTGTTGCCTTCATTTAGAAACATCGATTGCAAATGCCTGTATAAATACAAATTAAAATCAATATAGACAGCAGAGGAGACCCGAGGATGGAAAACAATAAACGGATCTCTGATCAGTAAGAATTATGTAAAGGGAATCCTGTGGAAGCCTGTGACTTGGAAGGGGTAACACAGGCTTATGAACTTACTCTTAGATGTCATCGGTACTGTCATAAATGCTTTAGAGATTTCCCTACAGAAACTACTCTGACTGCATCATGTTGAGTTGCAAGGTCAATTCAATGCAACAAGCTCACATCCTGCATAAATTAGTCTCAATGTCTGAATACTTGATTCTCAATTGTAAGTTTCTTGCTGTGCCTTGATTGGAAGGTACTCCTGTTTACTCCCAGGTTTATAAAAATATATGCACTTGTCTTTGACTGTTTAAACTGGAATAAGTATGTACTTGGCAGTTGCAATCCCAAGTATATCAGATACCTTTGCAGCTGTGACCTTGCTCTTTGCTGATAAGTTAGCATTTGGACTAATTACGTAAAAGTTTTCTTTTGGAGGAAATAATCTTCTTAATGCTTATTTTTGTCTTTTATATAAAACTTTTGTCTTTTATATAAAATTTCACAACAGAAAATTGTGGCTTCTCTCAGGTCAGGTGCAAAGTTCTCAGTTTTTTAATTTGTAAATGGTGAGGTTCCTCTTATATTATGTAGGCCCAAGTATAAATCAAGTCTGGTGTCCATGTTTTAAAACCTTTACAAAGTTACAGAATGAAGTGTTTTTAAGTAAATAATGCAGCTAACATTGAGTTGTTTCTATTCAGGGACAAAGAGGAATTGCAAACGTGGTGCAGTAGTTACAGAATGAAGGGCAGATGGCAAGGCAGGTCATTGTTCAGCTACAGCTCCACAGTATCCTGCAGGGACCACTGAGCTATACTGTAATTCCAGTTTGTGGATTTAAATATTTCAAAGGTATCCTAAAATAAGAAGCCTCATTATTTTCAGAAAATGCCTTGTTAGGTATTATTTGGAAAGAAAATTTATTTTTTTAGTAAGAAGAATTAACATGAGGTCTACCCTCAACAGATTTTTAAAATTTTATTTATTTTTACTGAAATACATTCTTTTACATCCTTGTTGATATTTTGACAGTATAGGATTACTCCCCTCTGGTATGGTCACAGTAGCTCTGCCACCACAGAAGCACCCATAGGCCTCCACCAAAGTCCATTATGCTATTCCCCTCCCTCCACTCCTATCCCGCCTCTCCCCTTCTCACTCTCCCTCCAGATGCCTCAGCTCTGTGGTCAGCTTCAAAGATGGTTTTAATGTTTGTCTTTGTCTGCCCTTTGTTTAGTTTTCCCAATATTCCACATATAAGTGACACTATCCGTTATTATCCTTCTGACTTATTTTGCTTAGCATAATCCCCTTTAGCTCCATCCATGTTGCCACAAATAGCATGAGTTTATCTTTTTTGATCACTGAGTAATATTCCATTGTGTATTTATACCACGTTTTCTTTTGGGGTATTTAGGTTTTAACAGATTTTTGTAGTGTACAAGACAGTATTGTTATCTATGGGCACATTGTTACACATCAGATCTCCAGAATGAATTATCTTGTTTAACTGAACAAATTTTATGCATGTTGATTAACAATCCCCCATTTCCTCTCCCTTCAGCCTCTGGCAACCTCCATTCCATTCTTTGCTTTGTGAGTTTGAGTATTTTAGGTATCTCATATAAGTGGGATTGTGCAGTATGTGTCTTTTGTGACAGGCTCATTTCACTTAGCTTGCAATTACCATATGACCCAGTAATCCTGCTTCTGGGTATTTCTCCAAAGGAACTAAAAGTACTGAAATCAGGATCTCAAAGACATTAGCACCTCCAATTTCATTGAAGTGCTATTCACAATGGCAAGATGTGGAAGCAACCTCTGTCTCCTTAAATGTCCATAACGATGATAAAGAAAATGTGGTATTGCAATCCAATATTATTCAGCCTTTAAATGAAAGAAATCTTGCAAGATGCAACAACATGGCTACACCTTGAAAATATTTCTTTTTGAAAGTGGGTGTAAGTGATTGCTAAAGATCACCTGAACCTAGGATATTCTTCCTTGTACACAAAAAATATGAACTTATTTTGCCTACTATATTTTAAAATATTTCAAGGTATTACATACAATCTCATGAAATTCATAATACTATAAAACTGCTCAGATTGGTCTGTCTTTTGTTTACAAATTTAATTATATCAACTCCAAATCAAGACTGTTATTTAAATAATTATAGGTACTACTTTTATACATACTACATATATATATTTATGAGGTTTATTAATTTTTAAATTCTATGACATAAGTAGGCATTTACAAAGAAAAGATCCACTATGGTATAAAATTGTAAGAAATTCTCTATCAAAATTAAGAGGCACATACCTATTTTACATATACATTTGCACAAAAGCACAAACTTTCTCTGGCCAGAGTCAAAGATTTTCAGAGCTGGATAGAAATTTACATAGCCCATAGGTCAACCCCCTCTTTTTTTTTTTTTTTCTGCCCCTCTCTCTTATGCTGGCGGTAGCAGCTGTGAGGATGTCACCTAGATCCATTGACTCATGGGAGGTTGCAATAGAGCAATATTCCCTCTCTATTTATTAGCTGGAATAACTTGGAATGTATCCTCATCTACTGTTGAGTTACCCTGAGGAGCAGTTCACCTAGAAAAAGGGGGTTCAAACCCCCTCTTTTAATAAGTGCATATGAAATCCACGGAGGTGAGGAATATAGTCCTGGCTAAATGGCTAATTAAGAACAAACATGGGCTAAGACATAGGCCTAGCCACTGTTCTTTCTAATCCACAAATGGTATTTTCTTTAATCATTTTTACCATTAATGTAGTTCAGGGTAATTAAGTTGCTAAGTCTATTTTTCATATTATGAATTTTTTCAACACTTATCTTAAAAATTAACACTGAATCTACTTAGCTATAACATTTGTTAGACAGTCTATTTATACATTAAGGAACGCCTTCCATTTTTTTCTTAAAGTCATGGTATCCATCATAAATGAAAAAAAACACAAACCCACCACCACCCTGCATTTTAGAACTTCATGCATGACACACTTCAAAACCATTCCCTGATTATAAGTGATGTTGAACATTTTTTTCGTATGCCTGTTGGCCATTTGCATTTCCTCTTTGGAAAAGTTTCTTTTTAGCTCTTCTGCCCATTTTTTGACTGGATTATTTTCTTTGTTTTTGTTGAGTCTCATCAGCTCTTTGTAGATTTTTGTGATCAGTCCTTTATCATTAGTGTTGTGTGCAAAAATGTTCTCCCAGTCGGTGAGGTTTCTCTTTGTTTTTGTTATTGTCTCTTTTGATGTGCAGAAGCTATTTAATTTGATGTAGTCCCAGCTGTTTATCTTTGCCTTCACTATCACTGCTTTGGGTGATGTGTCTGTAAAGATGTCTTTGAGGTGCATATCATGTAGTGTTTCACCTATAATTCCTTCTATATATTTTATGGTTTCAGGTATTTTGTCTAGTTCTTTAATCCATTTTGAGTTGGTTTTTGTGCGTGGTGTGAGGTAGTAGTTAAGCTTCGTTCTTTTGCATGTAGCAACCCAATTTTCCCAGCACCATTTATTGAACAAACTTTCTTTGCTCCAGTGAATATTCTTTTCTCCTTTGTCAAATATTAGTTGACCATAAATGCAACCACTATGGAGAGCTGTGTGGATATTTCTTGACCCACTAAACATAGCGCTTCCATATGATCCAGCAATTCCACTCCTAGGTATTTACCCAAATGGCACAGAAACAGTAATTCCAAAGGGCACCTGCACCCCTGTGTTTATAGCAGCACTATTTAAAATAGCTAAGATATGGAAACAACCCAAGTGCCCAAAAATAGATGACTGGATCAAGAAGATATGGTACATATACACAA